TGAGCTAACATTCATTGATTTTGGATCATCCAATCACGAGATACTCGCAATTGTATTATTGGCTGAAATTATAAATCAATAAATTCTACTTTAAATAAAAGAGTCTGGATTTCGAAATACGATCGCAAATATCTCAAGATGGGATAATCTAAAATTAATGAATGTTAGTTCATTGGATTCATCTAGTCGCGAGGAATCGAATGGTAGTTAATTAATATGAATTGGAGTGATATTAATCAAGATCATACATCATTTGTTTTTTTTGTTTTTCTATATATAAAAAATCATATGATATGACGTAATTTCGACCATTTCAACTTTTCATTTCGACTTTTTAGGTTTTCATTTCAACTTCATGTATAGTCTTAACCATAAATATAAAGGAGTTCATATTCATATATCCAAGCTTTGCCTTATCTTCATATTTAACTTTTACATAATCTTACCAGGGTTTGGTACAAAATCTCGAAGATCAAAATCCCGAAGTCATAATCCTGAATGACCATAATTCTGAAGGGTCAAAATCTCGAATAATCATAATCCCGAATGATCATAATCCTGATATTAAGAATTTTTAAGCATTACGTTTAACAATTTTAAGAGATTTATCACGAGTTTTAATGAAGTTTCTTGAGTCTATTAAATTTTCTCTTAAACTTCGCAACGCAAAAAATTTATTTTCTCATCCTTTTTATAAAATACTTTTGCCAAATATTAATTTCATATATTCTAAATAATAAAAATGGATGAAAATTGTGAAATCGTGGAAATCGTATCTTCTCAAAAAGGAAATGATAAAATAAAAGTTCATGGTTTTTTAATGACAAAAGAGCGAACTTTGAAAAATACCTATTATTGGTGTTATGAAAAAAAAAGTCAGAGAAATGTAAAGGTCGTGCAATAACAATTCTTAATGATGGTTCACACTACCTTCAAAAATATTTCAATAATACCCATGCTCCGCAAGCTAGTAGTGGTAATATTGCTAAAACTATTGCTGATATTAAACAACAAGCTTTAGCAACAAGAGATCAACCTATT